TGAAGGTTATGGAAGTCCAGCATCACACGAAAAAAAAAACATTATGGACAGAACATAAAGCACCTGATGGTCGAACTTATTATTATAATTCAATATCAAAAGAATCTCGATGGGAAAAACCTGATGAATTAAAAACATCTGCAGAAGTTTGTATCATTTTATTTTTTTTTTAATAAATTTTTCTCTTGAATTATTATCTTATATTGTTTTAGCTTATGTTATCACAATGTCAATGGCGTGAATATAAAGCTGAGAATGGACGTATTTATTATCATAATGTTGATACAAAAGAATCTCGATGGACAAAACCAAAAGAATTAGAAGATATTGAAAAAATGATTACACCACAACAAACTACTACTGACTCACCAAATACGTATGTAAACATAAATTAATGAATCTTATCTCTATATTTATTTTCATAGTAGTGGATCTCCGGCAACACCTCTTACACCAAGTATGCCACCACCAATGATGCCACCATTCGGTATAATGCCACCAATGATACCTCCATTTGGTACATTTCCTCCAGCATCAATGATGGCTGCAATGCAACCAATGACTACATCATCACCAGTAACAAATGAAGGTGATTTACCATCAAATGAAAATAGTCATGATGGTAGTGAAGATACAAATAGTGATAAAGTTGGTAATAAGAGTCCAGCAATAAATAATGAACCACAAGTTAAAATTGAATATGGATCAAAAAAAGAGGCTATGGATGCATTTAAAGAATTACTTCGTGAAAAAAATGTTCCATCGAATTCTACATGGGAACAAGCATTAAAATCAATTGGTAATGATCCACGTTATGCAGCAATAAAACATATTAATGAAAAAAAACAAACATTTAATGCATATAAAGTTGCACGTGTTAAAGAAGAAAAAGAAGCTGAACGTTTAAAATTAAAACAAATTAAAGATGATTTTGAAGCATATTTACAAAATTGTGAACATATGAATTCAACAATTAAATATAAAAAAGCTGAACAATTATTTGCACATTTACAAGTTTGGTCAGCTGTACCAGAACGTGAACGACGTGAATTATATGAAGATGTTGTTAATTATTTAGAAAAAAAAGAAAAGGTTTTTTTAATGTTTACTTCTTCTTTTCTTACACATAGATTGATGAATATGATATAAAGAATAGTCTAGGTGTACTTCAAAACAATTAAGAATATACTGATAACTATTTTTCTTGACGAGCACGACATACCAAATATTGGTGAAGTCAATTAGAAAATAGGACCGTTTACTAGATCCAAGAGATAATCTTCATAAAAAGTCTTATTTCTACAAACACTTAAGTCTTTGAATACCAACATACGTTATAAAGTACATATTTTCTAAGTTTCTGAATTTTTTAATAACTGACGAATGTAAAATGATATCGAAGTCCAGTTTTCTCTATCACATAGAAGAGATTTCAGTACATACATGTATATAAGGGTGGAGATAATGCTCTTTCGCAGTCCTCAAAATATTTCGGTTTTCCATGTTGGAATCAAGTTAGAAGTGACTCTTAGCGATATTCCAGAGATTAATTTCGCAACATTTCTCAATCGAATTTTGATTCACATCCGTACTCCTACATAGGGATGGCTAAAATACTTCTTCAACATCTCTATGGGGAAGTATGAGCATCGATCGAAAACGACTTTATAGGTTTTTTTCAAAAGTTTTGATGAAAATATTAATACTGCACTATGAGCATCTTAAAGGATTAATATACTCCATAGTGATTAGTGATATGCATTTTCATAAAAAAAGTGCTTATCAGCAGCACCCATTTAGGTTAAACTACAGTCCTAGGATTCCGTTCAACAAAAGATGGTGTCGAGTACTTGTCAATATTTATGAAGAAGTACTGATTAGTAAAAAAGTTGATCAGAGAAGCATCACTTGATAGTCTTCTTTTGTAAGACATGATACATCTAGAAACAATTTACATGCTCGAAAACATTTCTATTAATCACTCTCAAAATAATTATAGATTGTTTGATGTATAGATATATTCTATAGTAATTTCAAAAATGATTTGAAATTAATTTCCTATATTTTATTTTAGGAAGAAGCTAAAGCATTGAAAAAACGTAACGTTAAAGCATTGAAAGATATTCTATCTAATATGTCTAAAGTAATATATCGAACAACATGGCAAGAAGCTCAAAGACTTTTACTTGATAATGTTGATTTCGTTAATGATACTGAATTACAAAGTAATGATATTTTTTTTGTTATTATTATTATTATTATTTTTTCAATGCTGTTTTTTTTTGTTTTCAATAGATATGGATAAAGAAGATGCATTGATTGTATTTGAAGATCATATTCGTGAATTAGAAAAAATTCATGAAGATGAAGTAGAAGCACAACGAAAATATATTCGACGAACAAATCGAAAAAATCGAGAAGCATTTTTAGTAAGAAAATAAAAAATTTCTTTGTTTTTTTTTATTTTTGAAAATTCGTTTTTTTTTTTTCAAAGTATTTTCTTGATGAATTACACGAACAAGGTAAACTTCATTCAATGTCACTATGGGTCGAATTATTTGGTATTATTTCTAATGATGAACGATTCAGTAAAATGCTTGGTCAACCCGGTAAAAATTAAATAAATCTTATTATTTGTGTTCATTTAATCATCTCTCTTCTTTTTTTTTTTTATTATAGGTTCAACACCATTAGATTTATTTAAATTATATGTGGAAGATTTAAAAGCTCGTTTTCATGATGAAAAAAAAGTCGTTAAAGAAATTTTAAAAGATAAAGGTTATTCAATTGATATTGATTCAACATTTGAAAAATTTGCTGAAATTATTTCAACTGATAAACGTGCTGCAGCTTTAGATGCTGGAAATATTAAATTAGCATTTAATAGTGTATGTATAATTAATTTACATTAATTATTTTAGTATTTTTATTTTTATTTTTTTGTAGTTAATGGAAAAAGCTGAAATAAAAGAAAAAGAACGTTTAAAAGAAGAAGCACGAAAAGTAAAAAAAAAAAAACTTTTGAAATATTTATTTCAAATATTTTTCATTCTTATGTTTATTTTATTTAGCAAAAACGACTTGAATCAAATTTTAAACAATTATTAAAAATAAAATTAGATTCATTAAATGAACAATCAAAATGGGAAGATGTTAAAGGACAAATTGAAAATGATAATGATTATCTTGCACTTTCATCTGAATCAGATCGTATTCGTCTTTTCGAAGAATATCATCGACATGTTGTTGCTGAAGCACAAGCAGCAGCCGCTGCTGCTGCTGCAGCTGCATCTCATCATTACCATCATCATCATAAAAAAGCACGAAAAGAAAAGAAAAAACGTAAACATGAAAAATCAAATAGCAGTAATACAGCGGCAGTGAGTGTAAGTAAAATCAAATTCTTTATTTTGAAAATTTGTCGTAGAGAAATTTAGGATTTGTTCAAAGAACGAGAAATTGTCTGAAAAGAATTCTAGATTAAAAAAGAAAAGACGGCGAACATTCTTTTTGTCTACATTGTTTATCGTGAATAATCGTTAAAATATTAGAATAGATAAAATCCTAAATTTCTCGCGCTTGATATATCTAAGTAACATAATTAATCTGATGAGATTTATATTTAAATATTGTAAATGGATAAAAACCGATAAATAAAAAGAATATTCGACTTATGAAGAGATATAGTAGTACTTTTAGGTTCAAACTTCTAATAGTACATTCAAATTTTTGTGTATCATATTTAAGAGTACAACCTACCCTCTGTCTGAAGAAGGGGGCTCATCATAAAATTTTTCAAGCCAGACAGATCTTGATTAGTAGAGCAAAAGTTGTCATAGATTCAAAGTTTTCGGATGCTGCTGTCTTTTATGAGATACTGGAATTACAATGACGAAAAATGAACTCCTCGTTTCTCCGAGATGTTACGTTCGATCGAGCTGGACATTTTTTTAAACACACTAGATATCGTTTGAGGTGGGTATCTATGTATTTTTTTTTCCTTCGAATTAAAAAGTCAAAATATCGAAGATACCCTAAAAATGCATGTTTTTTTTTGTAAGAGCTATCAGAATAACAAAAAAATATACCCATCCCGAATAGTGTATAATATAGGTGAAAAAAGTTTCGACGCGCGATTGGACTTATTAGACCGGAGAGAGAGAGAGAGAGAGAGAAACGTGAAACAATGTATAGTTTTCGTTAATTTAATTTTTTAACGTTTAAAGACAATTTTTGAATTCCAAAATGTACTCAGTAAATAGATGTTATTTCAGACTATATAACTCAAGAAATTTCCTTGTTTTGTATATAATTTTTAAAAAAGTCTCACATTGTTTTAGACAATAAAATTTGTTAATAGAGAAGCTAAATGAAACCATTCAAATTTCTTTTTTATAGGAATCCGATGGTGAAGAAAAAAAGAAATCTACATCATCAACAACAGTTCCAACAACCATCACAACTTCTACACCTCAATCAGCTCCAATAGATGTAGCTGAAAGTGATGAAGGTGAAACAAAAGATAGTGATGGTGGTGCACCATCTAGTTCTGCTCCACTAGCAGCTCCACCATCGGAATCAACAACAGGAACTAAAACAAAAAAAAGTAAAAAATCAAAGAAAAAACGTAAGAAGAAAGCAACATCTGGTCATTCATCAGTTCGTATATTTATTTTTATAAATATTAACATAAACTTATTTTACTTATTTTCTTCTAGAGTGAAAGTGAATCAGACGATGAATCAGCAAGTGGATCAACAAAGAAGAAAAAGAAAAAAGACAAATGAATGAAAATAGATAATAATAATAAAAAAATACATATGTAACTTTTCCCTATTGTATTGTAATTGTTCGTGTTTACTTATAAGTTTTGTTGTTTGATGAAAGAAAAAAAAAAACATTTAATTAACATAATTCTCTTCTTCGATTATGAAGAGATTAATTTTCTTGTCTTTTTCAGATTTAATAAATTTGTCTTGTCTATTTAACATTATATCATTATGTCTAGTAAGTTAATCTTAAACAAAGAAGATTTACAATATTCGGTCTTTTTTTAGTCTTAGTAGCAAAACTATAATACATATGCCATGGATTACACATTATTAAAGATTAACATTCTTGTGAAATACGATCTAAACGGAGTGTTGAAGTATAGGCATAAAAATTTCGACTGACTTCTACTTCCTTCTCTTCCCTACAGTTTGTGTAACAGATGTTGTTGATAAACAATCTTCCTGTGATTAGTAGGAATAGCTACATTATGTTTTACATTTTAATTCCGAAAGAATTGTGCTAACAGCTTTAAAATACTTTACATATTTTTTTTTTGAATATCAACACATGCAAATTGTTCAAAATATTTCATATAATGAAAAATTTTCATTATAATAAAATAAACCATTTTTTTTTGTTTTCTAAAAAATTCATTTCAAATTTCTTTTCCTAATTATTGAATTTTGTCTTTAAGGTATTTATACACGTGCACAAATGCCAGATGCTAAAGTGGGCTGTGCTAAATGTGGATATGGTATGTAGAAATTTTATATATTTTCAATAAAACGATTTATTTTCTTCATCTAGTTGGTCATTTAACTTATCAATGTCGTAATTTTCTTCAAACAGATCCATCCAAAGCTGTTGTACTTGACGTTAGTTCGACTAGTTCACCATCGAGTGACGATGATAATGATACACCTCTTCAATTACTTGCTCGAGGTAAATATTTCTATTCTTATTTTGATTATTTATATAAATAAATTCTATCCATTATAGAAGAAATTAATCGTGAAAAACAACAAGCAGAAAAAAAAGAAACAGAAACAAGTACAAAATCTAAAAAACATGAAAAAGCAAAACACAAACGACAGTAAATATTTTCATATGTTGAAGACAATTTCAAAATGAATATATTTCATTCTAGTCGATCACCAAGTACAAGTAGTCCATCTGAATCAGAATCGGAATCAAAAAAATCTAAACGAAAACGTCATCATAAACATCGACATCATTCATCAAAATCAAAAAAATCTAAAAAAGAATCAAAACATCGTCGTCATCATTCCTAATTACAATGATACGACTATGTTTAGACAATTATCTTGTATATTTGTGTTGTTTTTTTTTTTTTTTTGTTTACTTTCTGAAATGATATTCGTGTTCTATTAACTGGTGATGATTGGATAGTTACCTATAATAGATGTTATTTTGTTTGTGGTCAAAATATCTATTACTATTCGTTATACTGTAAATCATATAATTGAATCTTACTGGAGTTATAATGACGCTAATCTACGCTCTTTAATTCAGTACCTTTTTGGAAATTTAGAAAGAATTTTTTAAAGTACAATTATATAAGGATAGAGTATCGTCTGATGTTCAACGTAGTGTATGTCATATTCAATTTATTTGAAAAGAACGAATTGAAGTTACTTAGCTGAAACATTTGTGAAATTACGATATGAAAAATTTTCATATAAGTTTTCTTAAAAAGATTTTGCGTAAAGAAACTTTTCAGATCGAAATTTTGCATGTTATATGTTATTGCTACCTTGAAGACACAAATAATGTCGATATTTCTATCCAATTTGATAGTATCAATGTGGCTTCGTAAAATGAAAATGATCCTTTTATGAGTCATTTAAAATTTTTTGTTTGAAAATATTTCATTTATCTATGAAATAAATATAACATTTGATCGTAATGTATCAGTTTTATTGTTGATTCCTAATGAAAACACAGTACTTTGAATAGACTTTTTGTATTGAACAATTCATTCAAAATGCTTTTAGTTTAACTATCAATGAAAGTACTGAGGTTCCACCATATGCATTTGACAAATATACAATTGACGAAAGACTTGAACGTTTTGTTTTTTTTTTCAACTCAGTTAACTAATATGAAAATGTTACGTGTTTGGGGTGATGTTATAGGTGAACATTCAACGCATTCTAAGTTATCATGATTTCATATTCATATGTAGTCCGTAAGTAAAACATTTCTTAATCATTTTCTTTGTACTCTCTTATTTCAAATACCCAGTTGAAGAATTATTTCTCACCAATGTTCATAATGAAGTGATTTATCAAGTGAAAAATCTTCAATTACATGCATCGATTATGCTCTACTTGGATAACAATAAAAAAGAAGTTGTCATTGCTCAGAATGGTTATAGTATACAAAAAGAAAATAGAGCTAAAGTAAATCATAGAATATTTATTAATTCATCTCCTACCAATGGACTTTAATTAAGAAGTAAAAATTATACTAAAATTATCGAGAATGATACATCTAGATAAAGTTTTTTTTCTGTGAAATTGACTTACTATTATCGATGACAAATGATTCATTGAAAAGCTTTACTCAATGGATTAGAAGTCAAGAATATGACGTTCTTCATTTATTTATTAATTATTTTTCTTATTTCATTTGAAACTATTATGAGTTTATTGTACTGGAAAATCTTATAAGATCTAGAAAGTACTATGAAAAGAAACAATCAACAATAGATAACTTGTTTATTGACTAGCTATTTTTGAATCTTATTCTGCTAATGTAATTGATTAAAATGTAATAATCATATCTTCTATAGTCAACGAACTTTTTAAGGATATCTAGGAATCTATTTATATATCAAATACATTTATACCATGAATTTCGTGTTCATATAATGGATTTAATAATTCTCACGACACTCAGGGTCTACTAGTTGATCTTCTAAACATAGTATTCAGAACAAATTTTTTTTGAAACAAAATAAAATCTTTAGCCATTCAACAAAATAACAATCAGCGATTGTCATAAATAAAGCATTGAGTATTACACGAATAGTTGAATTTTTATGGTTGAATGCACCAACAAATATAAGTGGATATCTTTCAGGAAATGAATTTCATATGTGTGAATTAACAAGAATAGTAAATTATTTATGGATACAAATTACATATTTTGATTTACGTATTTCTTTATTGTTCAACGTAACACAATTGTAGTTTTCTTTTTCTTTTTTAGTATACTATTAAATAGTATATAATATCCGTAAAATTGTATTTTACATTGTTGACTTATTTTGTCATTATAATCATTTAGTTTTATATTTCTTCAATAAAATCTGAATTGTTTTAGTAGAATTGAAATGAGATCTTGCTGAAAATAAATATATGAATTAATTTAATTCAAAAATTTTCAAGATTCCATCATAATAGTAGACTTTAAATAAAATCGATTGTATTTTGCTCGATAATCTTTCAACTTTTTTCTTTTTTACAGTTAATAATGAAAACTAAAACTCTTTATCATATTTTTTACTACAAAAGTAAGAAAAAAACGAGATAATTTCCTTCTTAATTTTTAATCGAAATTAATCTTAGCTTCAATACACACAAAAATGACTTTCTCTTCCGTTTTAAATATCATAAAAAACAAAGAAAAAATAGAATATATCCGTTTTTTTTTTTTGAAGTGTCATTTGATCACGATCAAAATGTTCATCGAATGGTTTATTCTTATAACATGCATATTATCGGCATTTATATCTATTTCATTTGTAATATTTGTCATATTTGCATCATCAATTCATTCAATTAGTATTGCATTAACATGTCATTCAAGTATAACAGTTATCATAGCAAATATAGTTCTTGTTCTAACTACTATATTTATGTTAAAAATAAATTTCGAAAATAATAATCTTTGGTGTCAAATAGATGCTTATTGTTTTCAAGTATCATTAATATTAATTTATCATTCATATTATTTACAAGCATTTCATCGTTTTTCATCAGTTGTATATCATCATAATGTTTATTTTCGTACTTATCATATTTTTCTTGGTATACTTATTTTACAATGGATATTTGCTTGGCTTTATCCATTTCGTTTATTGAAATTTGGTTTATTTACTTATAATCCTATTATTAATGCATGTCATTTAGATTGGAATTTATCTCATGAATTATTTTTACTCTTATCTATAGAATATCTTATTCCTTTAATTATTGATGCTGTTCTTTATACATCACTTATAAAACATTCACATTTACATATTGCTCAAATAACTCATCATTCTGTTACTCAACATCGAAATCAAATAATTATATCTCAAGAACAACGACGTATTAAACGTGAATTTAAAATGCTTAAACGTATTCTTATTTTTTATCTAGCACTTGTTATTATGGATTTTCCAAGCGTAATTTTAACTATTATTGCTGCAATAGACTCCCACGATAGTATATCATTACAATATTCATATAAAATTATATTAGTATTGATTAGTTGTATATTATTGATGATTTCTATATGTCAATTTATATTAACACCAAGTGTTAAAACATTAATTCATGATTATATTAAACGACGAACAAATCAAGTCTTTGGATAAGTTTTTGTTTTTCAATGTGTGAAAGTGTATTTTTTTGAATTTAAAAACAAACTCTTGTACAAACACTGTCTGTAGAAGAAGAAAAAAAATACAAACAAAAGTTTAATCTTAACGTCTGGAACCACACTGAGCGCAGAAATGAGCGGATGCATTATTAAAGATACTACCACATTCATTACATCGCTTTGCAGATGGTGGTGGTGGGCGTCCAACAGCAGTTGGTCTTGTGGAATTATGTTGACTATTACCATATTGATTTCGTATTTGACTATATGAAGGAGGAGGAGCTGGTGGAGGTGGTCCTCGACGTATATATGGATTTGCTTCATCATTTTTTTGACGAGCACGTACATTCAAACTTGTATTCTCTTGTGTACGTCCTGTACGCATAAGCACCGGTTGTTGACCGCGTCGACGAACGGGCGGTTCATAATCATATTCATCCTTATTGAAGTCATATGTCATGAAAGTTTACTTGTAAAACAACTTACTTCGGGTGTATAATGATGACCTGCACGCATTGGTTCTTCTTCTTTAGAACCCATACCAAATAATTTTCTAAAGCCTCCCCAAATACCACCTGTTGTTTTACGTGGTGGTGGTAGTGGAGGTGGTGGGGGTGGTGGTTTTTGTAATCTAAGAATAGAGCTAACTCATCGAAATTTTGATTAGAAAAAATTTACTCAGATGGATTTCGTCGCACTATCATAGGAGCTGAATTACTATGTTTATAACCATTATTATAAACATCATGAGGATTTGAACGCATGCCTGAATGAGACGATTGTTGTTTTTGTGGATATGAATTTTGTATAGGAAGAGTTCGTCCCTAGGGGAAAAAAAAAAAAACAAAAAATTTTATTTGAAATTTTAAAACATATATTTTAATTGAAATTTTGCTATACTCTATCAAATTGTTGATTAGGTCTAGAAGTTGGTACATGTTTTTGTTCATACTGCGTCTGACAACTAAATCAAACAAAGATTATAAATAAAATTTAAAATGAATTCTTACAAAGGCATATGTCGTTTAGCAGCATGTTCATTAAAATTACGATGACAATAAGGGCACATAACATAATCTTAATAAATAATATAAAACATAAAAAAACAAAGAGATACATGAAAAAACAAAACCCTAAAATGAATCAACCTGATGGAACTTCACTCGGTCGAAAAGCTGGTAATGGTCCTCCTTGTTTCATAGCACGTGTAACGGCTCGAGCTTCACGTACTGATTGAATCAATTGTGTATGTTTTTGTCTCCAATTAGTTTTCGATTTTGATTTCGACTAACATTTCAAATATTTCAAAATGATATGAAAAATAATTTATATTCTTCTTACTCTATCATCTTGAGCTCGAACTTCACCAGTATATATCTAGTTAAATTTATTAATGAATAATACATTGACTATATTATACAAATGACATTATATTCACTTGTGCTGTTCTTTTTGTTGCTTTGTATGGTACATCAGAACCTGTGGCTCGTTGTTTTCCAGTATCGAATACTTTTCGTTTTGAATTCGTTACTTTTCGACAAATAGTTTGATGCTTTTTCTATAATTCAAAAATCGAAAAATTCTCATAAAAGATTATTTCATTATTAGATTACTATTTATAATATGATAACGATGGTCCTATATTATTAATCTATCAGTATAAAATAAGTCTTTGAGTTTG